TGTGTCCCTGAGTGATTATGTGGATCAGAGCCATGTGCAACGCTCACCTTGTTGACTCGCATTGAATATGTGATTTGGAATTTGGAATTTATGATAAGAATTAGATCTTAGGCAATCGTGGAAGCTGGTGAGGAACTCTACAAGGAATTATTGTCTCTACATATGTTGATGAGCTCGAAGTCACTGTAGGCAACAGGGCTAACAATCAGAAAAGCAAAGCTGAACATGAAGTAGGGGAGAGCAAAGACAAACAGGAACCCATGAGAGCAGACGGGAACCCACAAAGATAAAAATCTGTGGGCCCAACTGCTGTCCCCTGCTAACAAGGTAAGCCAACATGTCAGAAGCAATGTGTGCACTCTGCAGTATTGCCTGGCACCTTACACTGACCTTCAGAAGATAATGACTACTACTTAATTTTTACCTTCTAAAATCTATTGTGGCCAATCAGAAACCAGAACCACACAAGGAAATTCTGGGAAACATAGTTCTGGATTAGCTAAGTAGACACAGTACAAATGTAGCTTAACTTAATACAGATCTCAATGGAGATCACAATGTGACACCCAGAAGAGTACTTATCAACAGAACTTGAGCAAAGTAAACAAAAAGAAGATCAAAATGAAGACCATTTTCTTAGCCACACCTGACTAAGGATATTCATCGGTTCTTCGGAGAGGAAAATATGGAAATGAATGTAGGAAATTAAATAATTACAGTGCTCTATACAATTTAAGTGCAGTGGTTAAGAACACAGGTTTTATAAAGTCAGAAATCCATTTACAATCTGTATGTCATTATGCAAGTTAATTATTTTCTCTGTGACTCATTTTTATATCTGAAAATGGGGATAATTAAACTTTTCTCAAAGACTTGTTGTGAAGATTAAATGAGTTAATAAAGAGAGAGCACCTAGAACAGTGTGTGGTGTATAAATGCTTATTAAATCTTCATAATATAATTATTATATATAATCCTGTTTTAACTTTATAGTAAAATATATACATTTATGATTCTCAGTAAATTTCTAGGCTGTCATCATAAAGTTCTGGATGAAATGCTTCTTCCATGTATTATATGTCTCTGCCTGTTGGTTGTAGGCAAGATTCTGGTGACCAGAATGGGGAAAACCAAGTCTGCAGTCTCCCTTTCTGAATGCTTCCTATTCAAGAAAGTATCTGAATCAATATATACCTCATTAACATAAATTATCAGCACTTTTATATATTCATATGTCTCATCAATACTAGACTTCTAGAAAAATGATATTATTTATATTCCATGAATAATCACAGAGAAAGTAAAACCTTTTTACATTTTAAAAACTCTTCTAAATTCTGCCCTGTATGATCAATGAAGACTTCTTCTTGGATAAATAAAGCCAAGGTGTTCAAGCAAGTGCAATTGTGGTTTATCGAACTCAATTCTGGATCTGGGATGATTTTCATTAGAATATGTGCATGTGTGTGCACATGTGTATGTGCATGTGTACATGTGTGTATTTGAGAGGCTGTTACCAAATCTGTTTGTATTTAGTAGATTTTCACAACTAGTTTGGCTGATTGTTACTTTAAAACATTCAGTGTCTTTTTTGGGGGTCGGCCTGGGCAGCCACGATTGCGTAAGACAAAATTGGTTAAAGAAGTTTATAATAGAACCATCTCTTTTTTGTAACCTAGATATGGCTGAGCCTTTCCAATTTTTTATGCAAAATAAGAAAAGTCTTTAATGACACATTTAAAAAATCATAGAGTTGCATCTTATAAAAATTTTATAGTGTATAAAAATATCCATAGCCATAACAGGTATACCATCTGTTTTAGCACATATGATAAATTGGATGTGGTCAGTGGGATAGGCATTACAAGATACTCCAAGAAGAATGCATACATGGAATATCCCTTATCCCATTCTTCACTCAGCTTTTAAGTGCTAGAAAATGATTCTACCTATAACAGTGCTTTATCTTGAGAGCTACAGATCGCACAAAAAAATATCCTCTATTGTTTATAGTCTCTAGTCTCTTATATTCTTACTAACTGAAGCACTGTTATGGGTTGAATTGTGTCTCCCCTAAAAGATATGTTGAAATCCTAACCCTTAGTACTTCAGAATATGATATTATTTGGAAATGGGGTCTTTAAGGAAGTAATCAAATTAAAATGAGGTTATTACAGTGGGTTCTAATTCAATATGACTGGTGTCCTTATAAAAAGAGGAAATTTGGAAATGGAAACAGACACAGAAAGAAGACAATGTGAAGAAACATGAGAATGCCATGTGAGAACACAGGATTGGGGTATCTACAAGCCAAAGAATGCCTGAGACTGCCAACACTTTGATTCTGGACTTCTGGCCTCCAGAACTGTGAGTCAATACATTTCTATTGTTTTTAAGGTGCTATTGTTTTATGGTGCTTTGTTAAAGCAGCCCTAGAAAATGAATACAAGCACCTTTCCAGAAGTGTATAGTTTCTTTTTCATACAAAGGAGGGACTTAGTGACTACTAGTTTTTTCTTTATCTTTAATGTTTTGACATGGATTTCCACGCTCTTTTATAATACCTTAAAATCCTATCACTGTTGACATTTTGTAAATTAATATCAATTTAATATATGATCCAAAATAATCTGAACAATGTCAATGAGCCCTTAAGTCAAGAGATTCTAAAAAGATCAGTAAAAAAATGTCCAAAGCAACAGTATTACAGAGAGGAAAGAGGAATTAATGGCAAAGATAATGAAGATGAATAGTTTGGGGATTAAAATAAACTATTTCACTTTTTATTAAAACTGTAAGGTTATCAGCAAATGTAACTCCTTTTACTTTCGAAACTAGTATAAACTGATCATTCAATTCTATCAATGATCTTTTCTGTTTTATTTTTATTTTTATTTTTAAAGAGATCTAACATATGTTAGCTTAGTTTTTTGTTTGTTTGAAGTTCGGTGTCCACTAATCTCTTTTCCATCCAATTAGTAAAGTTAGGTTTTAAATTGCCCTAATATTTCCAATCAATAATGCATTTTCTTTATTTTACTCTCACGTAACTGTGACTTCTATTTTCTTAGTTTTTGGCATAATACATGGCACATAGGAAGTGCTCAGTAAATATTTCTTCAATGTACAAGCCAAATATGAAACCAAATTTGAAAAATAAACAAAACACAAGCATTACAATCCAAGGGGCTAATGGCTAGTATTTTTATAATGTTTTTTATAAAAGTATTTACTCATACTACTAAAACTGACTTGGCATTGATGATGCTCAACAAACCACCGTATTAAAAAGTCTGAACTGTTCTGACACATCTGACAAAACAGGGATACTTTGTTAGTTTGGTTATGCTTGTCTCATGTTCACCTTTTGCAAGTGCTTTGACTTAATCCTCTTTGTTCTATAACCTGTTCCTTTCTCCCTTCCGATGAGCATCCAAATGACAGGTATGGCAAGTAGGCTCTAAGGTGGCCCCTGTGATTCTTGCTTCTAGTTTTTATTCCCTTGTGTTATGTCCTCATCTTGAGTTTGGGTGCGGCCTGTGACTTGTTTGTAACCAACAGAATATGTAAAGGTGATGTTACTTCCATGATTATGTTACCTAAGACTGTGACCCCTGTCTTGTTAGCAGACTCTATTGACTCTTTTTTAGACCTTTCATAAAATAAAACTGTTATTAGTTTCTGTTGCTGAATAACAAGTACCATAAACTTAGTGGATCAAAAATACATATATTTATTATCTCATAGTGTTCATAGGTCAGGTGTCTGGGCACTGCTTAACTGGGCCTTCTGCTCGGGGCCTCACAAGGTTGCAATCGAGGTGTCAGCCAGGGCTGTGGTCTAATGTGAGGACTGGGTTCCTCTTCCAGGCTCACTGGTTGTTGGCAGAATTCAGTCAGAGCCTTGCATTTGTAGGATGGAGGCTCTCGGATCCCAGAGGCTTCCCACCTTTCCCTGGCACATGGTCCTCTCCTCTCCATAATGCAGCAGTTTGCTTCTTGAAGGCCAATAGGAGAGCATCTCTACTGCTTTGAATTGCTCTGACTTCTTCTGGCTCTGCTCTCTAGATCTTCTTTGAAAGGGCTTACCTGATTAGTTCAGGCCCCCCTTGAGTTATTTTCCTTTTGCTTGAAGTTAGCCTATTTGGAATTTTAATTACCTCTGTAAAACCCACTTTTCCCATATAATGTAACTTAAGCAATGGAGTGGTATCTCACCATATTCACTGGTCCTGCTCACACTCCAGGGGAAGGGATTATTCAGGGCAAGTAAATCAGAGGGCAGGAAAGTTGGGGGCCATCTTAGAATCCTGCCTACTGCAACTGGCATGTCTTAGTACTATTTGTGAGCCTTGCTTCTACTTGGCTCCTATAGTTTAAATTTTGGCAAAGTATTTTTTCAATCATATACTAATACTATAGTGGCAATAGCAAAAGCAGTTTATTAAATTTACCTTTAATAAAATTAGAATTCCACTAAATCTAATATTTACACAGAAGACTATTTTGTAAGATTTCAAAGCCATGTCTGCTCTAGACTAACATCTTCACGACTTTTGTGCATGAAACACAAGGATGGAGTTTCTTTTTCTTTGTTTAAATGAGACAATGGTCACTGTGATTGATGAAGAAAATGTTCAGAAGCTAGAATGGGGAAAATGAAGGTAGTTTGCTCCATTAAATAAGCACCATCTGTGAGCACAAGAAAGCAATGTCTCTATCAGAGTAGACTTAACAGCTTTATTCTTTTTATTCCTAGGGCAGAGCATTGTGTGATGTAGCCAATCTTGGTAACCTCTGTCAATGCTAGAGACAGGTGAAATAGCAAGCCTGGCTATGTTCGGTTCTACTGTTGTAGTGATCTGTGGCATGGTCAAACACTCAAGTCACCCCACATAATCTGCAATGTCTTCATGCCAAATCACCTCCCTGAAGAAAGGAGGGGGAAGCAAAGAAATTTCAACAAAGTTTCTCCATAAAGATGTACTGTTCACACAGTTGTACTAATATTTCCTTTATTTAGAGGTATATGCATTTTTCAATATTTTAAAATTAGATATTTTTTGCCCGTTTTATCAACTGATCACTCCCAGTACCTCCAATTTTATTCATATTAACCCATTAAAACAGTGGAACCAACCATAGTTTATTAAAAACAAATGCTCATTAAAAACAATTTTGACTCAGTTTTAAAAAATTGCAAATACATGAAAAACTGTTACAGTGTCATGAGATAGTAAATAATGGCCTTATGAAATTATAAGAAGTAAAATTCTTTAGTAAAAACTATGAAATATCTTAATTCGACCTTCAGATATGAAAATATATTTTTTATGCAACACTGAATAGTTAAGGCCAAAACACTTGAGAGTTTGAGATACACATATTTTGAAATTGCTTGTCAAAAATATTAGCATAAATAAATATCAAAACTGGTTGTACTAGTCAAACCAAATAAAACATATTATTAACTTATATCTTTAAAAGTTTGTTATCAGAAATATTTCTTCAGAAGTTATGTTTTTTCAAGGATAAATTACAATGTGCTTGGTGACCACATAAATATATATTTAAAGAATTGTACAAGATTTTGATGTTCTCTCTGTATTTGGGGGTGGAGTATCCTGATGATTTTGCCCCTTGTGGTTCTGGTTGGTATCTTTCTTACTGCTTTTAAAAGCTATTCGATCTGCTGTTGGTTTTATTTCTGGGAGTGGCTCATTCTGCATACTTTTCGAACTCATCAATGACAGCCTTTTAAAGAGGAAAATCTAGAAAAAAACACAGAGAATTCATTTCAGTAAGTGAAATATTCACTTACTATTATTTTGGGGATATAATTTTCAAAAATGTCTTAACATTATTTCATCATATCTTTATGGGGCAACACATGTACATTCTTAGCATCCATCAGCCTTTTTTCTATTACCAATGACAACCATGATTCCTCTCTAAAACAAGACCTTTCATACTATCATTCATCTTCAAGTGAACAGAAACTAAAAAAGTTAACTACAAAAGAAATCTATGACAGGAACTTCCAAAAGATTTCAAGAAGAAAAAAAACAAAGATCCCAAAAAGGACATCTGGGTTGTAAAAAGGAATGGCAAGTAAAGAAATTAGTATAACAAATAATAATAACATTGGATTTGTGATATTAAAAAAATTAAAATACTGGATACAGTAACATAAAATAGGAAGGTAGGGGTGATAGGAGAGAAAACTCTTCTAAGATCCTGGTATTATTTGGGGAAAAGCTAGGAACATTGATTAACTTTAGATTTTAGGTATGCATGTTAAAAATTTAAAAGACGAAATCTAGCCTATAGGCCATTTATGAGACACATCTACAACACCAGTAAAAGAATGAATAAGAAAAGATATATCAGGCAAATGCTAACCAAAGGAAAGCTAGTACAGCTATATTAATATCAGACGAAATAAATGTTAGCATTTTTTAGGGATGAAGAACAGTACAAGTAGTAAGATAATAGATTTAAACCTAACTGCATCAATAATCAGAGGTTTTTCAAATTAGATAAAAAGCAAGACCAATCAATATACTGCCTATATCAAATGCACTTCAAATATAAAATCACAAATAGGTTGAAAGCAAAAGGATGAAAAAAGATATACCATGATACTCTAATCAAAAGAAAGCTAGAGTGGCGGTATAATATCAGACCAAGTAGATTTCAGAGCAAAGAATATTATTGGAGGTAAAGAAGGCCACTTTATAATGATAAAGGGGTCAATTAATTAAGATAATAATCATAAACATTACAGAATCTAATAACGGCTGTAAAATACATAAAGCAAAAACTAACAGAAATATAGGATAGATGAATCTACAATTCTAGTCAGGGATTTAATACTTCTCTCTCAATAATAGATAGAACAAGTACACAGAAAATCAAGAATGATAGAGAAGACCTGAACAACACTATCAACCAATTTGAACTAATTAACATTGACAGGACACTCCACCCAACCACAGCATTCTTCTTAATCTTCTTCTCAAGTGCACATGGAACACTTATCAAGAGAGACCTGATTCTGGGCCATAAAACACGTCTAAATAAATTTAAAAGGACTCAAGTCATACTAAGTATGTTCTCCAATCACAATATAGTTAAGTTAGAAATTAATAACAAAGACCTTTGGAAAATTCCCGAATATGTTGAAATTAAATAACCCATGAGTCAAAGAAGAAATCATATGGGAAAGTATTTTGAACTGAATGAAAATAAAAATCAGTAACTCCAACTTTCGTGTTAAGAAATTATAAAAAGAAGAGCAAATTAAAGTCAAAGTGAAAGGAAATAATAAAGACCATAGTGGATATCAATAAAATAAAAAATACAGAAAAATCAATAAAACCTAAAACTGGTTCTTTGAAAAGATCAATACAATTGAAAAAATTCTAACCAGTTAATGAGGAAATAAACACAGAAGACATAAATAAATCTGATGAAATATGTGCAAGACCTATACACTGAAAACTATAAAACATTGCTAAAAGAAATTTAAGACCAGTAAACAGAGAGAAATATCATCTTCATGAGTTAGGAGACTATATTGTTAAGATGTTAATCCTTCCCAAATTCATCTACAGAAGCAAAGCAATCCCAATCAAAAAAAAAAAAAATCCCAGCAGGCATTTTTTTTTTTTTCAGT